GCAGGAAAAAAGATTTTCTTGCTCTCCTCACAATTGAAAAGTTTTACGTGTCTAACACCTTTCTGCAACAGTTAAAAAAAATCAAGTTTGCAATTGCACTGTCAGGTCTATTCCTTTTGCTGTAGGATGCTGAAAATAAGATCTAGTTACCATTTAGCACTCAGTGTCCCTATAACATTTATTCTTTCTGCATTCATACATATGGCTAACTTTTCAGTACATTAGTAAAACAGCTCTTCAAGACCTGAAGCAAAACTGGTGTAAATTCAAATTTGTGCCTCTCTCACCAGAAGAAGTTGGACCAATAAAAGTTATTACTACATCCATATACTGTCTCTAGTATTTTGAGATTAACATGGCTATACTATAACTGAACACGGTATTTTGATTATATATATATAAAAAAATCAAAATCAAAACACCAGTGAACACGGTATTTTGATTATATATATAAAAAAACCAAAATCAAAACACCAATTTACCAAAAACACAGCTTTTATTTTTCTTCAGAGAATTTTGAAATTTCGGGGTTTCACCCCCAATGAAATGAAGATAAAATTCTGAAATACAAGTTGAATCTCCCTAGTCCAGCACCAAATACAAGTTGAACCTCCCTAGTCCAGCACCCGGGCGGGGAACCTGACCAGAGAAGAACCAGAGAATTTGCTAAACCATAGGAGGTCAACAGTGTCTACCAGCATTACCAACACTTCCACTGCTTACTGGGCTCTTAGAAGACATTTGGGGAGACATTACAGGAGAGGTGTACACACTATAAATCTACTTTTGGAGGCAAAATTCTGTTGTTCTGTGGACAAAATAAAACCACTTTAACAAGAAGCCTAAATATTTTTGCAGCAAAGTTAAAGCAACAAAGCATCACTAGATGCTTCTGTTTGTTTTGTTAATATAACCGACTTTTTTCAGTATCCAACAATACTGTCTGGACAGCTCTACTCACTGTTTTGATCTCTGCTGCCATCCAAGCATGCATACCTCCCCCTTTAAAGCTCTGAGAGGCATCTGACAGCAGGGTGTGCTTCTATGCACAAGTAACTAATCATGCCCTGCACTAGGAACACAGCAGCAGGCAGATTGCTGCAGTGGAAGACGGAGGGGAAGGGCTTGGGGGACTTCTGTGCTGTTTGACATTCCTCAGCACAGAGAGATATCACATATCAGGATGCTACTCCAGGCAGCTGAGGTGGCTGTGGAAGAACCAAAGCAGGCAGGTGGTGGTAGTGGTGAGGGAAGACTACTGTGCTGTGCAGAGCTGAAGGCAGACATAGGGGAGGGGGTATCCCCCTCCCCGTCTCAAGATAGATCAGTCCCCGCCACCCTGGGCTGCCACTGTGGAGAAGATGGCAGCCACCCCCACCCTACACTCTGAGCCTCTCCTTTGAGCTCCCCCTCTGCCCAACCCCCTTGCACCTAGCAGCCCTGCACACCGGAATAACTACCACAGTGCACTGC